AATGGTAGAGGACAAATCCACCGGGTGAGGAGTTGGTGGTTCAGATCCACCATCTAGGGAAGGAGGTTTAGTGGATCCACATGCCAAATTGTCTGGAGGTGGTGGTGAGGATTGATGTCAAACCACCTCTGCGCATCGTCCCTCAATGAGAAGGGGAAAAGCGTCATTTTCACTTGATCGTCAGTTAACTCAGGTATCTTGAAAGTCTGGCACATCCTCAGGAAGCGGGTAATATGCGCCACTGGGTCTTCAGTAGGGCCTCCTCCAAATTGATTATTGGATACCATGCTTATCACCGTCAACTTGATCTCGTAACGGTTGGCAGTAATTCCTGGCACTTGAATGCTATCGTACTCTGAAACGTTTGGCGTAAGGAACTCTGCAATGGTCTGACGCTGATAGAGTGGATTGTTGTGCGGTACATATGGATTGGGTGGAGGCACCTGATGTCTAGGCTGGGGGCTGGTTGTGGCTGAGTAGGTGGGACTTGGGTTTGGTTTTGAAATTGATTGGGTACGGATTTTGGTACTGGGGCTGATTTTGGAATGTAGGTTGATTGATTGGAAGTGAGTTCTGTCTCGATTGGGAAACGGGAATACTCTGCCTTGCTCCTTTCATCACATAAACTTGGTTTTGAAAATTGGTTTCAGGAGCAGTAGGGGTATTTTGAAAAAGGTGATATAATGGAGGGAGATTAAATTGTGGTGAAGGCTGATTTTGGGAAAAGATCGGAGTGCGGTAATTTTGACAACTTGGAGGGTTTCTAGGTGAAATTGGTGGTGAAGATTGGGGTGATGTGTTATGATAGAAATCTGGCTGAGAAGTAGCGTTGGGGTTACTAGATGACCCTATGTTTCCAGATGAAGATTGATGGTCCATGGTAAATTTCTCTTTGTGAGCCTTGCGGTTCTGTCTGCCGAGCTTTTCAATCTCAAGATTAAGAGGGATTAATGGTTCTCCCCTCTTGGAGCGTGTATGCATAAACAGATCTGACCTTCAAGGTTAGCAGACAAAAATCCTACGAAAAACTAAAATCGAATTGCTGAGTTAAATTAACCCTTAAGACTAACACCGTCCCCAGCAACGGCGCCAAAAACTGATGTGAGTTTTCTCGCACTTAAATTAATAGTAGAATAGTGGTGAAATTACGAGTATCGTCTCCACATGGACGGACAAAAGGGAATTAAAGATTAACTAAATTCAACGATTAAAAATAAAATAAAATAAATGCGTCGTGCGAGATTTGAGTGTTGAATAGAAATTAAACTAATGTGAATGAGCGAATAAAAATAAAGATTTGGGTTCTTCTTGATTAACGACGGAGGGAATAGGGATTGATTCCAGGGTAATCAGATTTCTGGTAGATTAAACCTAATTACATGAATTTAATTTAATTGAGCCTAGCTAATCAATACTAAGTTCTTACCGTAGAGTACAATAATTTAGGGGATTAGGCATCTCTCATGCGACAGGATCCTAAATTATTGCCAAGACGAACGAGCTTACGGCCCCTTAATCGCTACTAATCTCTTATCGAACGATTAAGTGTGCGTGAATGTGTCCTAGAACAAATTAGATCTCTCTTAATTTATTCTATGTGCAATTGTAATTCTAGTGGCCATTCTATGTTACAAAAGATATCAGTTAAATTGTTCAAACACAAATTAAACGGCATTCATGCAATTAAACCATCAAGAAACTAGCCATACATCATGATAAACCCCTTCATCAACCCCAAATCCCTAATTAAAACTACCCCCGACTCATAATTGAAGAATCAATAGAATTGGAAAAAATAGAAAAAATTGTCATTAATTAAAAAGTAGGAACTTAAAAACAATTGAAAAACCTGGCTAAAAAGCTCTCTAAATTTCGTCCTTAATCAGCTCTCTAAAGTTCCATCCCCCCTAATAAGGTTAGGGAGGTGATATTTATAGGAAACAAAGAATTTGGGCTTAATTAGGGCAAATCGGGGTCAGGCACGATGTCAGGCACGATCGTGCCTAGGACCGTGCCTGCGGAACATACGCGCGTTTCGGATGGAAACACAATCGTGCCCGGCCCAGACACGATCGTGTCTGGCTGGCAGTAGCCCCTTGTGACATTCTTCTTCAGGCACGATTGTGCCTAGGCCCAGACACGGTTGTGCATGGCTATCCTTGACCGTTTCATGGTGTTTCATGCTCCAAATGCCCCCGGATGCAAATAAGGTCGATCCAAATGCTCTTTCTTCATCAGAATTTCGTCGTGAATCTCCCGGTGACCTCCAAATCTCTCAAATCTTTCTCGAATGCTTCCAAACTCTTTCCGATTGCCTCTTTAAATGCCGATGTCGGTCTCTAAATTCTTCAATTTTACTCCAAATGCAACGAAACTCGATCCAACGCCTGATAATCACATCTTGAGCTAAAATTGAGACTTGCAACACCTTAAGGCTAGGAAAATAATCAAAATCCGACTCCAACATGCATCAAATGTGTGTTGTAATACGAACTTATCAGAACACATAAACTTGATGAAGAGGACGGCGAAGAGCGACGAAGGTAGCTAACGGAAAGAGGCAGACGACGGTGGCAGTAGACGGTGACAGCGGACGGCGGCAGCGGACGGTGGAAGGCGGCGTTGGAGGTCGAGGTCGGCGGAGTGTAGAAGAAGTAAAGGGAGAAAGAGTTAGGGTTTTGGTTGGGAGAGCGTTCGGAATGAAAAAATTTGCTAAGTGTTGAATTTATACCAGGTTATAGTCACGGACGTAGTCACGGATATATCCGTGACTAGCCGTCGTAACTAACGAAGTCAGACACGCGGAAGACGAGGTGTCAGGACCGCCTTTGACCGCCTTAGTCACGGACGAATCCGTGACTAGGGCCGTGACTAATTCAAATTTTTGAATTAGTCACGGCCCTAGTCACGGATCCGTCCATGACTAATTACTTTCCAGCCGTTCTGTCAACTCCTCGGGCAGGCCGGCGACAGTGGAATAAATTCCACTTTATTATATTCGATTTTTCGGTATAAATAGGTGATGCCCGGTCCAATGTTTGTGTGGAAAATAAAATGGCTATTACCGTGACTATTTTTTTTTAAACAAGCCGTGACTAAACCGTGACTAGAACCGTGACTAGGGTCCGTGACTACAAGCGAATTTTTTTGTAGTGCGTACAAATGTATTATACTACCCCGTATTATGTATTTTCGGGTTCTAGCAGCCACTGAATAGTTGACCTCCAATCCGCCCTCCGAACTGTCAAAAAAGAGTTCAAATTTCATTTTTTACAAGTAAACAACCGGTAAAAAAGGTTCGATTCGCACTCTTAAACTATTAAAAAGTGTCAAAATTACAATAAATCAAATATAAAAAACAGAAACAATAAAAAAATTAAAAAATGACCGGTTGTTTACCCGTAAAAAATGAAATTTGAACCATTTTTTGTCGGTTCGGGATGTGAATTGAACATTTTTTAGTTCAGGGACTGAATTGAGCTTACACGACCGGTATAGGGACCTATTTGACCCTTTAGCCTCATATATTTATACACACAAGTTTTGATAATATGAAAATAATGTCAAAAAGTTCTTTGTAAAAAATACTATCATGAAAATGTAAAATTGTTAAATTTTACATAATTATACTCGTATTAGTTAAAATAATTTGTCAAAGTTTATCACTTTTTATTAAAAAAAGTCAAAGATGACTAAATAAAAAAGAAAGAACGTAATACTTTTCTGTCTAGGGCCTCAAATATGCTAAAGATGCCCCTGCAGATGAACTAGGCGGCCCAAAACGAACGATGAACATTCTAACCGGAACAACCTTGTCTTTTAGATCTAATTTAGGAGAAGGTTTCAAATCTATAATGGTAGAGGATAGATCCATCGGGTGAGGAGTTGGCGGTTCAGATCCACCATCTAGGGAAGGAGGTTTAGTGGATCCACATGCCAAATTGTCCAGACCATTATAATTGAGTAAAACCGAATAGAAGAAAAGGGAGCCAATGACAAACAGAGAGGACATTGATGGGCAGAAGAAAGAGGAGGCAACAACGAATAGAGAAGACGTTGGTGAGGAGAAGAAAGAAGAGGCAACAACGAAGAGAGAGGGCCGAGTAGATAGTTCAAGAGGAGGGAAGAAGATAAGATGTGAATAGAGAGACGTAATGGGAAGGGGAATATGTGGGTTTGGAGAGTAGGCATGGCAATGGGTCGGGGCGGGGCGGGTATTGCAAGACCCGGGCATGCCCCGTGACTTGGCGGGGCGGGTCCGCCTCGCCCCGTGACCTGCACGAGTCCAAATTTGTTGACCCATGACCCACCCCATGCGGGGTGGGGCGGGTCCGCCCCGCCCCGCCGTAACCTAATTAGTTAGTATGTATTTTTTTGTGGGAAGTTGTTACCAATTGAATCTACATAATGTTTATCTCTAAATAATAATTAAAAATCAATATATTAAATCAAATTCATGATACGCTAAAAATTTCAAAAATTAAGGAAAAATTACTCAAATTTGAATAGTTAATCTTATTAGTTATATTAATAATTGAATATATGTATTAAAATTCTATATATAAAGAGGACATTGATAATCCGTCGTGCATCTCATTACAATATATACTTCGTATTCATATATTATAAGATCAAAGAATTTATGATTTATTGTATATACACATATGTATGTTGAAGTATATTTGTAGTACTATAATTTAAGATAAAATATGTATACTTATATATTCAGCGGGTTGGGACGGGACGGGGCAGGGCCGCACGGGTCAATTCTCATACCCGGACCCGCCCCATTGTATAGGCGAGGCGGGGCGGACCCGCCCCATTTGCAAGACGGGGCAGGGCGAACCCGCCCCAAATGTCTCGGGCCAAGACGGGTCATTGCGGGTCGGGTTTTTTTGACATCCCTATTGGAGAGGGGATTAAGCGGGTAGATGTGGTTAAAAAGGAAGGAAATTTTGGAAAACACACCAAAAATCTTTCCCAAAACAGAATATAAACTTTAATTGATTGAATTAATTGATTGAATTGGGGTACACAAAGATAAGGTAGATTGGTTTGGTTGGGTTGGAACGATAGAGGATAGCCATTTGGCGGCAACGAAATATGCATAAAGACATGGTCACATCGGCTTGACCATGGTCAATTGGGTCCCATCCGTGTCTCCATCCGTGGCTCCTCCCTAAACTCCGTTATCGTAGCCACTCGCCTCCTACCATCCATCCCTCCTTCCTTCTCTCTTTCAAACCCTAGCTACGACAAATAACTGCTACAGTACCTGGTTTCTTTGTTCATTTATTTATTTGTACATCTCTCCATCTCTATCTCTGCGATTTTCAGATTCAGACTGATCCAACCTCTTGTCGTTCTGCATCTTTTAATATACCGAGTTTTGCATTGCGTTGAATACTCAGAGCTGGAGGAGGAGATATACAATGGCGTCTGCCTGCGTGAACCCAATCGGAATGTCACCGGAGTCCTTTCTCGACTGTTCTCAGACCAAGTTTCCTTCCTATGCTTGGTTGAGTCCACGCGTCTCGTACAGTCGGGAGTTCTCAGATGATTCCAGGAAGACCAAGCATTCTTCTCATCAACAGGGGAAGGGGCGTGAGAAGCCGGAAGAGGAAAAGGAGGAGGAGGAGGAGGAGAGCTCAGATCCGGAGGATTTCGAGTTCCGTCTGGACGATCCGGTCACAATGCAGCCGGCGGACGAGCTCTTCTCCGACGGGAAGCTGATGCCGCTGCACCTATCCATGGTCCGGCCTGTGGCGGCGCCGGTCAGAGCCACATCCCCGGATACGCCGAAACTGCGAATCAGAAACGAGATTTCCGGTACGGAACCTTACCTCTTCTCCCCGAAAGCGCCTAGATGTTCCAGTCGATGGAAGGAGATTCTAGGCTTGAGGAAGCTCTACCAGCAGAGCAGCACAGCTGCGGCAAAGCAGGAGAGTCACTGCAGAATCTCGTCGTCTTCGTCTAATTTGCTGGGCAATAAATCTCTGAAAAGCTTCCTGCATCGCAGCACCGCTTCAAAGTCCACCAATGCCGCTGAGTCTATGTCCCTCAGCCTTCCTCTGCTCAGGGACACCGACAACGAGTCATTGGCGGTTTCTTCCGCCAGGCTATCGCTCTCCTCCTCCTCTTCGGGCCACGAGCACGACGATCTCCCTCGTCTCTCCCTCGATTCTGAGAAACCGGCAAACAACGGTCACACTCGGAATGGGAGTCAAAGCAGCAGCAGCAGCAGCAATAATAATAGCTATAATCCCCCACGAGTTCGAGTGGTGAAGGTGAGGTCCGAGAACCCAGCAGCGCGAGTTGGGCGGAGCCCAATGCGGAGAGTACCAGAAACGACGGCGGCGCGTGGACTGTCCGTGGATAGCCCACGCATGAACTCATCAGGGAAGATAGTTTTCCAAAGCTTGGAGAGAAGCTCGAGCAGTCCGAGCAGTTTGAACGGCGCTCCCAAGCACAAGGTGCAGAGAGGAATGGAGCGGTCGTATTCAGCGAACGTCCGCGTCACTCCGGTGCTTAACGTTCCGGTCTGTTCACTGAGGGGATCTTCCAAGTTCGGATTCCCTCTGTTTTCCTCTTCGTCGTCGTCCTCACAGCAACAGAGGAAGGAATCGGCCGGCGTTGGAAGCAAAGCGCACCCGAGTATGGCGACGGCGAAACACCGTACGGACCGGATCAAGGAATGATTGGACACCTTCACCATTAGCATTTTGTCTCGATCTTTAATCCTTTACACTATATGATTATTGTTGTTATGATAGACGAGAGATTAGATGCGGAGTGTTTGGTGATGGGTGCGTGCTGATTGAACCTTTGTTCTTCAATTCTTCCATTGATGAATTCAGGTAACTGCTACTACAGCACTGACTGCTCTGCCGCCATAGACCATAGTAGTGGTTAGTTAGTGACGATGATGGTGAGATTGTGTGTGAATAGTTGATTCGTTTTCTTTTCTTTTCTTTTGTTTTTGATCGTTTGTTAGCATATGCATGCTGCTTCTGGTTGAGTTGAATGAATTGAATCATCATGATTCCCGGCCCGGCTGTCCGGGCTCTTGCCTTTTCACTCTTTCATGATTAAATAAAATTGAATGGGAATTGGGAAGTAGTAAAAATTTACCATTCCAATCTTAGATTTTCCCACCCGTCTTTTGTTGATTCTGAAAAGTTGCTGTTGGCATGGATTGTGGGTGCTGGTAACGGGATGAATGAGGACGGAAATGGTGGGTGGGTGGGTGGCGAATAACGCGCCGGCAGAGACTGGGGGAACATGTCAATCCATGTTAGCTTCTTTGTACGTACTCCGTTCTTTTTTTTACTCCCAACGGTTCCTATTAAAGTTCTTACATTCCTTTTTGGGATGTCCCTTATTTAAGTTCACACTTCCATTGTAGGAAACAAAATAGTGCCAAACAGTGTCCAAACAGTGCCAAACAGTGTCAAAACAGTGTCAAACAATGCACTCCACAGTAAAGTCAAATTTATTTTCTTAATCTGTGTGAAGTCAAACTGAGAACTTTAATAGGAACCGGAGGGAGTATTTTTTAATCTATATTTAAATCTGTTTTCATCTTAATAGGGCAGGTTTTGTCTGCTAAATATCTACTCAGGTATTTTATCTGTATCTGATTTGTTTAAACAGAAATGCTAGTCTGACCCCAATTTGTACCTCATTTTGTACCTCTCTCTATATTTGTGGTTCACAAAAGCACTTCATTAAAATGGAGCAATTCATTTAATGTGTTGGGCTTTTGTGAACCACAAATATAGGAAGGGTGTACAAATCAGGTATCAAATGATGTACCTCTAGCAAAACTCTTTAAGTTATATACTCCCTCCGTCCCTGTTTTATCTCCCATTTCGGTTGGACACACTTATTAAGATAGTGAGTTTTGTGTGGTGGAGAGTTGGACAGAGGAGAAAGAAATGTGTAAGAATGTGTAAAAATGATTGTGAACCACAAATTCTTTGCCAAAAAGGGAAGGAGAAGATAATTTTGGGACGGACGAAAAAGGAAAGTTTGAAGATAATTCAGGGACGAAAGGAGTACTACCCCTGTCTCTCCTAAGATTAGGACAAAGGAGAGTCATATGGTTTTTAAGAAAAGTACAATTATGTGATTGATAATGAATTGAGAAAATGAGAATAAAGTAAGAATAAATTAGAGTCACACAAATATTACCAAATGTGTTATGAGACAAAAGCTGCGTTTGTTTTTCAACGGGTGGGTAGCAAATCGTTGTATTTTGCAGCGTTTTGATGTTTTAATTGATTAACGGTTTGCTCCATGCGTTGTTATCCAAACAGCACCAAATTTAGTAGGGCGGTAGTATATAACTTAAAATAGATAAAGCACTTATGATAATGCAATTAAAATTTGATTGTACCCGATTAATATTATTTATTTCAAAAATAAAGCTTATATTATGTTAAATTATATAGTTATTTTAATAAATTTTTATTTGTAAAAACATATAATCATTATTCGAAAATAATTTTTTATATAAAGTTCAGTATGTATATTACATATACAAGCTCGAAGTATTTATCTCACGTCCTTTACGTGTTTACACACGGTATTTAACTATTTATATTATTTTCCCTTTATTGTTATTTTAATATTTATTACTCCCTCTGTCCCCTAATTAAGTTACGTGTTTGACTTCACACATATTAAGGAAATAAATTTAATGGCTGTAAATTTTACTGTTTTGACACTGTTTGCATTGTTTTGCACTATTTGAACACTGTTTTGCATTGTTTGACACTATTTTGCACTGTTTGACATTGTTTTGATGTAGATAATTTGCCAAATAAGGAAAGTAAGGAAGTGTGAATTTAATTTATGGACTACCCAAAAAAGAAAGTGATAATTTAATTGGGGGACAGGGAGTATTATTATTACTCCCTGTCCCTGAATTATCTTCAAACTTTCTTTTTTCGTTCGTCCCAAAATTATCTTCCTTTTCCCTTTTTGGCAAAGAATTTGTGGTTCACAATCATTCTTACACATTCTTACACATTTCTCTCTCCTCTGCACAACTCTTCATCACACAAAACTCACTATCTTAATTAGTGTGCCTAGCCGAAATGGGAGAAAAAACAGGGACGGAGGGAGTATTATTATTACATTCCTGCCATCCACTCGGTGGGATGTATTTATTTAAAAAAAAAACTTGGTTCTACAATAATTGGGTGGAGGTGGGGTTGCAATTTCTGGTTTGTTTCGGGACTCCATTTTGAATTGTTGGTCAGATTCTGTCACCTTTGCTCTGTTGTTTCGCCAGTCCCATTATTACAGTAGTATTTCTCAATTCATATACTCCATATGCCATTTACCATTTTGGCGGATAACATTTTTTTACTATTGTTTGTTGGCTGGTTATATTATTAATTGCCTCTGCAACTCTGTAAGGTAATACTCACTCTTCTTTATTGTTGTTGAACCATATCCAAATTAAATACACCTACTAATTGAATTTAACTGCATTACTGTTAGTCCGTCCGTATCCGCCTTCAATAAATTATACTTCTATCTTCCATAAAATAACTCACTTTCATTTATTTAAAAAAGTCGGAAGTGAAAATGTATAATTGTGTTTGAGTAAGAAAATGTAATGTATGATAGTCACACAAAATTTTACAAAGTAAGAAATATAAATTACATAGTATTATTTTAGGCATCCTGAAGAGAAAAGTGAGAACTATTTTATGGGACATATGGAGTGCGTAGTATTGCCCTCGTCTTATTCTCCTATTTCATACTTATCAACCAACTTTTTAACCAAACATGTAACTTTTGATTTCGCGCACTAAATTGTGTAATAATAAGAAAAAGTAAGGTTGAAGTTACTTTTCTGACTGTATTGACTGAAGTTATTATAGATGATCATTTTAGCAATTTTCATATAATTTTTCTTTATTTTATTATTAAAATATATTTTAAATCTAATTTTTTTCATAAATCAACAAAATCAGTCAATACAGACACATCAGTCAGAACTTCATAAAGTTCATCAGAATTAGCCGATTCAGCCAATTCTAGTGTTACTAAACAAACTCTCTACATTAACTTAATTTATACAAAAGTGATTGGAGTAATCATGGTAAGGGTAGTAAATACAAGAAGAATATTAAGGGATATACTCCCTTCGTATATAAAAGTTTGTTAGACTTTTCTATTTGTGAAGTATTTAAAAGTTTGTTACACTTTTCACTTATTTCCCTGTAAAGATATCCAATTACCCTTATTTTTACTACTTTATATGTTATCTTTCCTACTTTTTCGATTTTTCTCATACCTTTTTTACACTATTCACTACCTCCACTATTTTCTTCTTAGATATTGTATCAAGACCTAATTTAGCGATCTTTTAAATACGCTGGAGTACAAAACAACTATTAATTACAAATCATCTAAATATGGCTACAGATCACATCTAAAAATGATAAGCTATTACACCCCATAGTCGTACCTGGAGAAGGACGAATGTTGAGACTATCACGAAAGCGAAGAATGTCGAGGAAGTCCTTTAGTAAAGATGTTAACATATTGATACTCGACATGAATATGAAGGACCCGAATGTCTCCTAGATGAACTCTTTCCCGAACAAAGTGAATGACAATCTCAATGTGCTTAGTGTGTTGATGTTGAACATGACTGCTCGAGAGATACACAATACTGATGTTATCACAATAGACAATAGTGGCACGTCGAAGAGGGAGATGAAGGTTGACAAGGAGATTGTGAAGCCAACATGATTCAGTAGCAGCATTAGCAACTCCTCTATATTCGGCTTCAGAACTAGAGCGGGAGACAGTTGGTTGTCATTTAGAAGACCACGAGATGAGATCATCACCAAGGAAAATACAAAAGTCGGAAGTGGATCGCCGAGAATCAGAGTAGCCAACCCAATCAGCATCAGAGTAAGAAGTGAGATCGAAGATGGGGCCGAAGGAGACGAATAAGCCATGATCAATTGTACCTTGTAAGTAACGTAATATCCGCTTGGGTGCTAAAAAGTGGGATCTTCATGGATCATGCATAAATAGGCATAATTGTTGGACGACATAAGAGATGTCAGGCCGAGTGAAGGTCAAATACTGCAGAGCTCCAGTAAGACTGTGATATAGCATGGGATCGACTGAAGAGGAGTCGGTGCATGCACTTAGTTTGGAAGGTGTCAATATGTGTTGCTGCGACTTTTTAGTTTGTCATAGCAACAAGAGCAAATATATCCTGGAAATAGAGATTGCGAGAAAAACAGAGCAGATGTAGAGCGAGTGATGGTCAAGCTGAGGAAATGATGCAAAGCCAAGGTCGATCGTGGAGAATTCAGTCTTTAGCAAAAAAAAAACTGATGGAGAAGCTCATTAGATGAAGGATTGAGAAATATGTCATCCACATAGAGTAAGAGATACGCACTGTCTGAGCTAGTGTGATACACAAACAGAGAGGACTCTGCTTTGCTGCCCCAAAAGCCACAACGAGTAATGAACGTAGCAAATCTTTGAAACCAATCTCGAGGTGCATGCTTAAGGCCGTATAGAGATTTACCTTATATGCATACATGGTTTGGGCGAGCTGGATTAGTAAATCCAGGGGGCTGATGCATATACACAGCCTCAGATAAGTCCCCATGGAGAAATACACTCTTAACATCCAACTGGTGAATAGGCCATGACCGAGATGTGGCAATAGTGAGAACGGTACAAATTGTGGTAGTTTTAACCACGTGACTAAAAGTATCAAAATAGTCAATGCAAACTTGGTGTGATTTTCCATTTGCCACCAGTCAAGCTTTATAATGTTGCAGGGAACCATATGAATGAAACTTATGTCGGAATTGCCACATAGAGCGAATAACATGAGCACAAGGGAGTGTGGAACAAGATCCCAAGTGTGATTTTAATAAAGAAGTGTACTCTTCTTTCATGGCAGCATTCCAGTTAGAGCCCTGAAGGGCATATACATGAGTTTTTTTTTCCGAATTAATGTTAATTAATTAATTAATTACGAAAATAATGCTGGTAAAAAAATATTTACCGATCTACTGCTGGGTTTAACCATGTTTAGGGAAAGTCGCCCAACGGTTGGGCGACTTATAAGTCGCCAAACGGTTTGGTGACTTATAAGTCGCCCAACCGTTGGGCGACTTTCCCCTTCTATATAAACGCAGACCAACAGCTACTGCTAGCCACGC